ATTTAGGAATTTTCCTTAAATTAGGTCAAATTCACATACACAATTCACCAATCACCCAATTCCATCAATTTCACAACCATAGACAAGTGATATGAATCTCTATAATTCTATCCATTACATATAACACCATAGGTTGTAAAATAAACACNCACAACCATAGACAAGTGATATGAATCTCTATCATTCTACCCATTACATATAACACTCTAGGTTGTAAAATAAACACAAGTATAAAGTAACCCTAACTCTTGAAGTGTAAGGAACGACAATAGGAAGTCCCAAGAACCCACTTCTAGCCTAAATTTTAAACTTTCGAAAATCTCGTACCTTGATCTTCAGTAAAATTCGTCGTTTTTTATGTGGTCGCGTAGCCCTTGGCGAGAGGAGCAACTTTAATTGTTGGCCCGAGTGAATCCGAAGCTCGTGGAGTCGTAGATCGTAGAGAGAAGTGGAGAGCTCTTTCTTTTTCCCTCTCTTCCCCTCTCACATTAACCGGCCGAAGAAAGTGGGAAAGAAATCTGATTTCCCCCCTTTTTTATACCCTCCANGATCGTAGAGAGAAGTGGAAAGCTCCTTCTTTTTCCCTCTCTTTCCCTCTCACATTAACCGGCCGAAGAAAGTGGGAAAGAAATCAGATTTCCCCCCTTTTTTATACCTTCTATTTACTTGGCTCACATTGTGCCACATAGCCTCTTTTTCCCGACTCCGTTTTCGTCTTGAAACAATTTAATTTTGACTCGATTTAAGTTTAAAATATTTTTATTTTAACTTGTCTTAGATTATTTTCCAACTTTTGAAATTTTATCAAAAATTTCGTTTTTGGGTCACCCGAGACTCGACTGCCTCGTAAAACGCAAAAAATTCGACTATCTCGAAATTTGATGAAATTTGACAGAGTAACTAAATTTCGCGAGACGAATNCGTCTTGAAACAATTTAATTTTGACTCGATTTAAGTTTAAAATATTTTTATTTTAATTTGTCTTAGATTATTTTCCAACTTTTGAAATTTTATCAAAAATTCTGTTTTTGGGTCACTCGAGACTCGACTGCCTCGTAAAACGCAAAAAATTTGACTATCTCGAAATTTGATGAAATTTGACAGAGTAACTAAATTTCGCGAGACGAATCCAACGGTGAGGTCCGTTACGTCATCCAAGATCTAAAAAAAATTTAGGTTTACAACCCGTATCGTAGTGGCAAATTATCGTTTTGCCATTGTTATAAAAAATTTAAATTCACCCGGGTTTTACATCTTCGCTCACCATCTCCACCAGCCATTGTCACCTACCCCACCACACTTACCACCACCGACCACTATCACCTGTTATCGCCCACCACTGCAGCCACCTACTGTCATCTACCCCCACCACACTTATCACTGTCGTTATTCGCCACCACCCATCACACTGTTATCTAGAAGCACTTATCGTCGCCCACCACCACCATCACTGCCCACCACCACCATCGTTGTCCCACCACCACTGCCAACCACTATCACCACCGTCCACCACCACCACCACCACCATTGCCACCCACGGCTACTACCACCACCACGGTCGTCGTCTTACCCATCACAACCATCACCGTCTCCCACCATTACCACTTTCGCCCACCACCATTACCACCACGCACTTCTATTACAATCAATGCTTAAATTTTTTTTATCTTTCATTTATGTTTGTAATTTAATTTTAAGTGTGAATACAAATATATTGACCATTTCTTTTTATTATTTTGTATTTTCAGGCACGAGAAATAACTAGTATATCGATATAAAATCTATTCTCATNCCACCACCATTACCACCACGCACTTCTATTACAATCAATGCTTAAATTTTTTTTATCTTTCATTTATGTTTGTAATTTAATTTTAAGTGTGAATACAAATATATTGACCATTTCTTTTTATTATTTTGTATTTTCAGGTACGAGAAATAACTAGTATATTGATATAAAATCTATTCTCGTAGAACTCTATAAGATTTATTCACATTTCGCAGACTCTTTGATCTTCGGATTCGCAATAGGAGTAGTGCCAAAAGTAGACACCGAAGAAATCAAATAGACCGATGGATGGGAAAACGTAAACCCATTGTACTTGTCCGAGAAAGGTCAAAATCGCCGAAAAATTGTCCCACTGGTTAGCAAATGGATACCACAAGGTCTGCAACGAAAACCTTTTTGCCAACCATTGCTGACAAATCACTTCTCCGGCCTCAATCAACAACATTGAGAGCTCCGGAGAAAGTTCGAGATCGCCAAAGGTTCTAGTGTCCTCAACAGTAAAAAGTGTGTGTGAGAGAGAGAGGAAAGAGGGAGAGTGGGGAAGAGAGAAGGGGAAGGGGGTGAGCACGACAAAAAAGTGGGTAGATTAATGGTTAAGAAATCAAGATTGTCACTCCTAATTATGATTTCAACGTAATTGCTTTCAATGAGAGCATGTTCTAAGTGTAAAGATGCTGCTAACAAGCATGCTTCTCTAACTGCAGCTGCTTCAGAATATAAACTGGTGACATAGCTAGGACTGATTTGGATCTTCCATCCATCATGGTACCTGATGCATTTCTAGCAACGATAGACTTCATTTGGCTTGACATATGCAACAAAAACTCATTATTCATGTAAAACAAAATGTAAAAAAATTAACAAAACTTAAGACATCAGTAGGTGTAGGCGTTTTCCAAAGGTGGGATCTTTGAATTCTTCCCATTTGACCCGAAACCGATCGATCTAGCTATGAGCAAGTTGAAGAGAGCTCTAACAGGCTTTGGAGGACCGAACCCACGTATGTGGCAAAATATGGGGATTACTTGTGGCTAGGGGTGAAAGGCCAACCAAGATCAGATATAGTTAGTCTTCAGCGAAATCTATGTCAATAGAGCGTATGATGAAACGCACATCCAAACGAACATCCTCCAATTAGGAATTGTCATTTGTATCATTCATGGTTTCTACACAACCCACCTCACTAAATATAAGGTGAATGTATCCACACTGTAGAGATACACGTATCCGAGATGTATCTGACGAATATCTAACAATGATAAATATTAATTATTTGATACGTACGAAACATATTATATGTATTCACGAGTAACCGATACGTCAGTCTCTAGAAGAATTCACCATTGGGNCACCTCACTAAATATAAGGTGAATGTATCCACACTGTAGAGATACACGTATCCGAGGTGTATCTGATGAATATCCAACAATGATAAATATTTTATTAATTATTTGATACGTACGATACATATTATATGTATTCACGAGTATCCGATACGTCAGTCTCTAGAAGAATTCACCATTGTGAGACTGCTTAGAATTTGAAGACTGAAAAATTTTGAAAGTTGGAAGTATATTGGACAAATTCGAGAATCAATTTTGTGGCAGGGAAACCAGTGTGCGAAGTTTAGTGGGCAAACAATATAAAACTTTCTGCAAGCAAGAACTCTATGGAATTGCAAAGGATTCCTAAATAAATTCAGGTGTCTTACCATGACTTTACAGTGAAAGTCACCCTTGTTTTTGTAACAGAGCAACGGTCAAATCAACGTTTGCTTATTCACCATTGTATCTAGTTAGAGGAAAAAGTGTAGAATATCAAATACTAGGAACCAAATATGAATGCGCGCGCGCGCACACACTCTCTCTCTCTCTCTTTCTGCAAACAGTGAAAACTATGGCAGGTCATAAAACCAGTCCTGGCGAAATCATCCACAAGCCAAACTGATATGTTCTATTTCACCAATAATTGAATGAATCCAAAAATCAATTATTAGCAGCTAGCCACCATTAAAATAGTGATCGCCACGTACGACGTCCGAAGAAATAGGTAGGGCCATTGGACTTTCAGTACACATTATTTGAAGCACCATTTGCTAGCATCCGGTTGCAGATAAAAAGAGGTTTACATGATGACCCAACATCTTCTCACTTAATACTACCAATTTGAAGAGCCCATGGTTTGCAAGGTATGTGAAGAAAGCAGGCTGGTTATCTACAACTCCGGGCAAACTTTGGTTCTAGTTGTTCTGTGTCAACACCCGTGCATAGGGCTGTTAAAATTTGATACGAAATAATTAATCGATACGAATTAAGCGGGTTTGAGTGTGATCTTAATGGGTTTAGGTGATAAACGGGTTGACAAGTGAAACACGGGTCGTGTTCGAGTGAGATCTGTCAAACTGTTTATCACACGTTTACCCGTTTAAATAAAATTAATATAATAATAAATTAATAATTATTTAAAAAAATTAACAAGAAATAAAGAAATAAAGAAATCAATAAAAAAAATAAGTAAAGTAATAGTTTAAAGACAAAAGAGAAGAGATGAGAAACACTTCAAAGACAAAGACAAGTCTTATTTATCCCACATTAGAAAATGAGAAGAGATGGAGAGGGTTGAATTGCCTATAAAAAACAATGACCTCTTACTTTTTTTTTTAGGCCTTCAAGTCTTATTTGTCCTACATTAAAAAATGAGGGGAGATGGGGGAGGATTGAGTTGCCTATAAAAAGAAATGACCTCTTACTTTTTTTTTTTAAGCCTTCAAGTCTTATTTATCCCACATTGAAAAATGAGGGGAGATAAGGAGGGTTGAATTGCCTATAAAAAGTAATGACCTCTTACTTTTTTTTTAGGCCTTGAAGTCTTATTTTTATGAGATTTTGCTTAAAAATCTTTTTTTTTGAAGTAAGTGCAATTAACAATAAAAAAAATGAAATATTAAAATTTGTTAATATAATTTTTTTTAAAATTAAATGGGTTAAACGAGTCATGTCGTGCTACCCGTTTTCGTGTTGAGATTTTTTACTTGTTTATTAAACGTGTCGTGTACGGGTTTATATATTTTTTACCCACGTTTGACACCCCTACCCATGCAAGCCCATGCCTTCCAAAGGAGTGCTCACTTGCTCCTATGGGCACTAATTTCAGTATAGTGTGCCCCAAAATGCATCCAAATATATACACAAATTGTACTACAAACAAGAAATCAAGAATAAATATGAATTCTTGAAATAACACACTGCCTATTTGACAAGGTCTCACGAAGCAATCTTCTTCTAGTCGCGGGATGAAATTTTACAGCCAACTGCTGGCTCTGAATAACCAGCCCAGCAATAAGCTCAGGTCTTCCATAACATAACCGGGCGGAGTTGCGTGCGAGCCGAGTAAGGTAGTGCACACGAGTCCTTCGCGCTACAACCATCTCTTTTTTATAGGTTCTACGGACTGATGCCTGCAACACACCTGATTCCATGTATATACTCATCCCATTTCACTAATCACACATTACATATCTGCAACACACCTAATTCCATGTATGTACTCATCCCATTTTGCTAATCACATATTACATATTGAAGCTAAAATATTCCATATGAGCAGCAATGCCCAACTTCAGAAAAGATTATAGTTATAATCTGACACTTAGACAGATATCCAAAAGTATCTACAAGTCTTGTAACCTCCAAAAGGCATATAGGTTTGATTACATATATTATATTACATCAACAAAGAGAAACCCAAGAACTACAAAGTAAATGCAGAGACATGGCAAGGCAAGCTAGCTAACCTCAAGGTTGGATTTGAACGACATGAACAACATGAGGGACCTTCTCATCATCGAAAGGCAAGCTAACATATTCGTGAGCAAACTCCTCAGCTATATCAAAAGCCAATTCACCATGTAAAGCCTTACAATACATGTACAACACCGCATGTGCCGCCACAACGTGAAGCATCAACAATGTCACAAAACTCGAACCTACCACCGTCTGCAATATGAACAACCAACTTCTCCACCCACTAACTCCGTCGTAATACACCGCCGGCATCGTTCCCCAAGTCAGTAACCCAATCAAACACCCAAAATACAATAACAACGACAACGAAACCCATCTCATCCCATTTAATAAATAAAAACTTCGCCGCAACGGCTCAATCCCCCATTTTGATTCCACCACCACAATTACACTAGCCAATGCCCAATTCACGTGTAACCAGATTAAGACCAACCCGAGTAATATCGCAACGATTACGCAAAACCCAATAAAATAACTCGAATTATAATCGATTTCAAACCCTAAAATCTGAAGCCCTCTATACACTAAAACGACATAAAGGCCAAAAATCAAACACATCAATACAGCAATTGTTTTTGAAACCACCATTGTAATCACAAGAGGTACGAATGAGTGGAAGAGCGACTTGATGGCGGACATGAACTTGACAGGTCTACCGTAGAATCCATGGAAGGTGCTGTAAGTGATTGTTGCTGAGGCACAGAGGGAAAGGAAGACGACGAAGAAGGCGTAGATGAGATAAAGAATTAGGGTTTTAGAGGGGGGATAGTGGAGGTCGGAGGACAATCGGAGGAGGAATTGGGTGTAATCGATGTCGCCTTGGAAGAGGGTGGATTGAAGGGTAGGGTAGATAAAGAAAGAAAAAGAGAGAGGTAACAGGAAGAGGACAGAGAGGGATAAGAAGTGGCGAGAGTGGGCGTTGATTATGCGTTTTGCCTCGGAGAGGACTCCGCAGAGGTTTAGGGTTCGTGACATGGTCGACATGGGAGGGAGAGAGATTTTCACAGAGAGAGAGAGAGAGAGATGGAGAATTGGTACTACCGTTGGTTCATATAGAGTAAATTACATATAGCCCTGTCAAACTATAGTTCTCGTGTCAATTAAGTCCTTCAACTTGTTTTATGTCAATTAAGCCCTTAAATTTTCTAATTATGTCAATTAAACCTTTTTGTCTGCCTTTGTTAGAGTGTGCCACTCACATGATCATATGACACAAAAAGATAGAAGAGCTCAATTGACAAAATTAAAGAGTTTAAGGATTCCATTGACACAAAAAAATTAGAGACTTAATTGGTCATAATTTGAGGGCAATATATATAATTTATTCCAACTCAATTGTGTTACGTGAGCGACACATAGAAGAGTTTAATTGACATAATTAGAGAGTTCAGATGCTCAATTGACAAAAAAAAAAAAGTTTAAGGGCTTATTTAATATAAGGATTATAGTTTGAGTCCATATGTATAATTTACTCGTTCAGACATATCTTTACATTGCGTTAAATGATACTTCATACCCTCAAAGATTGCTAAATTCTTAATTTATACCTTAAAACATTAAAGCCCTCATAACCTTAATAGGATAAAAGAAAAGCAATGTAGTCCAAAACCTCAATGGTTGTTTCTTTTTTGGACAATTTTTTTAGATTTTTATAAGTAATTATTTTTTTAATATTGAATTTTAAGTGTTTTCAATGAAAATTCTGAACTTTTTTTTTTTTAAATGAAGCACATTTCTATCGTTTTGTTTGATTGACAATGCAATATCAATATGGAGATTTCAACCTTTCAAAGTGTAACTTAACAATACAAAGATATTTTAGGCTACGAAGTGTCATTTATCCTTTACATTGTTCCTCCAGAAATTAAAAGTTGTGCAATTTATGTCGTGTTATTAGGCTTGGGCCCAAAATCAAATATGAGATGATGATGGGCTTTACTGATCATTCAATACTTCTTCTGTCAAACTTCAGGGCCGAAATCAGGGTTAACTTTTCACTGGGCTCTTGAAACTGGGCCAAGCTCAATTAGAGCCCATATGATCAGGGGTAACTTTTCACTGGGCTTAAATTAAACTGGTCCAAGCTCAGTTGGGGCCCACATGTGTGCAGGTTATATCAACCTGATTTTGGCCCAGACCCAGCTCAGCAGAGCTGAGCTGTAAGTAGTGATAAGACAGGCACAGGCCCACACAGGAATCTCAGTCCTGTTGTGTACGGCCTGGATCACATCAATCAGCTATCCCACAGCATTAAAGCCTCTGATCTGACCGTTTATTCTGGTGGTCCCAACAGCTCGACAACCGTTAATACTCTGGACCATCGTATTTGACCGATTGATTTGCCCAAACAGTGTATTGGACTGAGAATTAAAACTGACCCCCGACGCAAAAAATACAAAGTGTGGGGTGGGTTGGGTTGGGTTGGATTACGCTGGATTGATGGGACGCCTAAAACGACAAGATTAACATTCCCGTTTGGTGGTCCGTTTCTGGTCCGATTGCGACTTAACGGGCGGTACAGGATCAGAATTGGGTTTTATTTACCCGACCAGACGAATCATGCTACGTTTGTCACTTTTTTATTTTTATTTTTATTTTTGTTTATCCTTCTCATTTAAACCTCGTACTTTTTCTTCTACTCTTTTTTTTTTTTTTAAATATATTTTGTTAAGGAAGATGATAAACCAATTCAAATCATATGTATAAATCTATTATTGTAGCCGCGCTTCACTTTTTCGGTATTATATTGAAATATTAGTTATTCTCTGTAACTGAAAATACAAAATAATAAAAAAAATAGTTAATAATAAATATATTTGTATTCATATTTAAAATCAAACCACAAATATAAAGGAGAGAAAAAAAAATTTAAACATAGGTTACAATGACAATAAGTGATGGTGGGCAGAAGTGACGGTGGTGGGGGTGGCAACGATGATGGTAGTGGCGATTGTTATGGGGGTTGATGGTAGGACAATGATGGTGGTAATTGAGGTGGTGGGAGTGGAGGTAAAGGTGGTAGGGGGGTAGTGGGGATGGTGGTGGTTGGGTAGTAAGGATGGTGATAGTGGGGGGGGTGGCGAGAATGTTAGTGGTGACGGTAGTTATGATAGGGGTAGTGGTGATGGTTATTGTGGCAAAGGTGATGGTGTGGCGATGATGGAATGGTATGGTAGAGGCAGAGATGGGGGTGGCAGGGGGGGTGGTGATGGTGGTAATGAGGCAGTAGGCAGGGTGGTGGTGAGGTGGTGGGATAATGGGGGGGTGGTGGTGGGGTGGCGACATTGATGGTGACGACAACAGTGGTAATGGTTGTGGCAGAAGTGGTGGTGGGGGGTGGCGACGGTGGAAGTGATAGTGGTAGTGGTAATGGTGATGGTGGTGGGAGAATAATATGGTGGTGGGGGTGGGGTGGTAGTGGCAATGGTAATGGCGATGGGACTGTGGGGGGTGGTGATGGTGGTGGGGCGATGGGGGTGGTGGTGATAGTGATAGTTCCAAACACTATTTTTTTAAGTATTTATGAGAAATTATAAGTATTAAAAGTACTTTTAAAAAATCACTTCAAACACACTCTTAGTGTCATATTTTTCCTATTAAATTTAAAGTATTAATATTAGTCGTCAGATTAATTTTAAAATAAAATTTAAAGAGATCTCAACCGCAAAATAGCAAAAGTCATTTTGTTTTATCTTTGATATTTGAATTGTATTATACTTTATTATATAAATAATTTCTTGTAGCAAATTTTATGTTGAATTATTTTTATGCTCCATTTGGTATGATAGAAAAATGGAAAGATGAAAAGTTAGAAAAATATAAAGTTAAAGGACTAAATAAAACATCATGTTTTATAAGAAAGAAAAATAGGTAGGATGAAAAAGTGGATGAATGAGTTTTCCTTCCAACTCACCAAAATCGGAAGAAAAATGAATAAAAAGTTAATTATTTATGTTAAAATGTATCTTATTTGTTTATCTATATATATATATATATAACGGTGGTGGGGGGTAGTGGGGATGGTGGTGGTTGGGTAGTAAGGGTGGTGATAGTGGGGGGGTGGCGAGAATGTTAGTGGTGACGATAGTTATGATAGGGGTAGTGGTGATGGTTATTGTGGCAGAGGTGATGGTGTGGCGATGATGGAATGGTATGGTAGAGGCAGAGATGGGGGTGGCAGGGGGGGTAGTGGGGGGTGGTGATGGTGGTAATGAGGCAATGGGCAAGGTGGTGGTGAGGTGGTGGGATAATGGGGGGTGGTGGTGGGGTGGCGACATTGATGGTGACGACAACAGTGGTAATGGTTGTGGCAGAAGTGGTGGTGGGGGGTGGCGACGGTGGAAGTGATAGTGGTAGTGGTAATGGTGATGGTGGTGGGAGAATAATATGGTGGTGGGGGTGGGGTGGTAGTGGCAATGGTAATGGCGATGGGACTGTGGGGGGTGGTGATGGTGGTGGGGCGATGGGGGTGGTGGTGATAGTGATAGTTCCAAACACTATTTTTTTAAGTATTTATGAGAAATTATAAGTATTAAAAGTACTTTTAAAAAATCACTTCAAACACACTCTTAGTGTCATATTTTTCCTATTAAATTTAAAGTATTAATATTAGTCGTCAGATTAATTTTAAAATAAAATTTAAAGAGATCTCAACCGCAAAATAGCAAAAGTCATTTTGTTTTATCTTTGATATTTGAATTGTATTATACTTTATTATATAAATAATTTCTTGTAGCAAATTTTATGTTGAATTATTTTTATGCTCCATTTGGTATGATAGAAAAATGGAAAGATGAAAAGTTAGAAAAATATAAAGTTAAAGGACTAAATAAAACATCATGTTTTATAAGAAAGAAAAATAGGTAGGAAGAAAAAGTGGATGAATGAGTTTTCCTTCCAACTCACCAAAATCGGAAGAAAAATGAATAAAAAGTTAATTATTTATGTTAAAATGTATCTTATTTGTTTATATATATAACAAGTGCCTGAAGACACGGTGTAATGTGAATAGTTTTAAGAGAGATATTGGTAGCCATTGGATTAATTTATTTGAAACCGTCGGATAAATTTATTAAAAACTACTCTGTTTTATATTGTAAATATATATATATATATATGTGGGGGGGGTGTGGGTGTGTGTGTGTGTGTGTGTGAGAGAGAGAGAGAGAGAGAGAGCTTCATTTATAGATGACAATGATCTACAATCAAGTGAAAGTGTAATGTTAATAATTTAGATCCTTTCAATACTTCTCCAAATGTCCATAAATAGGCCATGAATCCTGCCAATATCTATGGCTATGGCAAGAGCATGCCTAAAATTTTTAGATAGTTAATTTGTTAGACTCTTCAAATAAATGAGTCCACATGAACTTGACAAGTACGATACATAGTTTATACGTAACATAAATTCAATATAAGAAGAATTCGACAATAAAAGTTTTTTAAAACAATAGTATAAGTTGAACAAATTTAATACAAGACAATATTGATAAATAACCCATTAACAATCCTAAACAAGAGTACCACTAGGCCTCAAAGGCTTGTGGTAACAAATGTGAGGGTCGGGGACCTCGATCTTCCTTAACCATCATCTATTCAATTTAGGAATGTCAAATATAACACAATTTGATAATATGATACGAATATAATAAAAAATTAGATGGTTTGGTCTTTCTTAAGCCACTCATTTCGTAAACGAGCGCACTTGCACGATACACAATTAATAAACGAATCGGATATAAATGAAATTAATTAAAAAAAATACACGATACAATTTGTTTATATATCAATTATACACAATTCATACACAACACGAATTCATTAATAAATGAATAAAAAATTAGTATAGTATTTTTTGACACAAATATAATAACCCTTTGTTTGGTATAAAGTAAAATTGGATGGATGAATAAAGACGAATGAATGAAAAGTAGAAGGGAAAGAGAGATTTTCCTTTGTTTGGTTGGGAAGTAAAATAGAGAGGAGAGGAAAATGAGATGGAA